TATGGATATAAAGATATGTAAGGATAGATTTAGCCACACATTAAAATATATAGTCTCTATATATTAAATTATATAGAGACTACTAATTTGGAGTATCTTTTAAAGTGGTCAAAGGTTGAGTTTGCATTTGCCTTAGTATAATTTCAATGCTAATAAGACCAATAATGCATGTTAATTTTTTTAATTATATAGCTTAACCTCAGAATATTCAGAGATATTTTTGAAAACACCCTGTTTTCAACTTAATTAGCTACTGTGGTAGTATTTATGGACAACTGAAATACTACTTCCTTGTAATCAATTGAGAAACCATCTTGTCACTAAAACCATTGCACTGGCACCCTCACCCCACCCTGTTCAGGTGTATTGCCTCGAGAACCATTTAAATGTTCTTTTTCCTATCAGTACAACTCAGGATGGCTTTGCTGTACCACCAATGAAACCTGAAGAGAGATGGTGTGCCTTCCTTTGGTGTCATGACACAGAAATATTTGGTGTCCCTATCTCTCAGAGCATCGTTCCTCTGGCAATAGAAAGGCAAAGTGAACTCTTGCACCAAAAGCACAACCAGGGTGATATGGCTGAAACTCATGCCCAGGTATGGGGGTGGCTAGCAAAATGGCCTGTTAAAGAGGATGAGGACTGTGCTGTACTGTCTGTGGACTGCAATTACATTTGGCCCATGAACAGGAAAAACTACATTCAAATATAATCACAGTGCATCCTTTTTACTATCTACTGCTAAGACCTTAAATTTCAAGACACAGCATTAAGCATTTCTCAAATAACAGTTTGCACTTTTAACTTTTTCTAATGAAATGATGTAATTGAAAAAAATTCCATATTCTTCTAGGTGTCAGTCTTTTACTCTCTTCCACAGCAGGGGATTGGGGTAAACTCGGGGTGATGGAAAACTATCCTGATTACCATTTCTAACAGGCAAAACTCTTTAAGGGACGCAATTACTAGAGATCCGTTTACCTCATCCTCTTACTAAGGAATGGAACACTGGCATCATTCCTAGGCAGCTATCATTCTGTCACACCACTGGTCTCCTGAAGAATGTACAGCAGGTCACAACAGCCTCAGGAAGTAGAGAGGGCCAAACAGGAAGTCATGTCATGCCACATTTCTAGGCCCTAGTGAATCTTGAGATCTCACTGGAAAAATTGCACATTCTTTAGAGGCTCCCCAAGGTGCTCTCCCTTGCTGGTCTGAGTATTGGTCAGGGTAGGAAGCAAGGTCCCCCATTGCCACCTCTGGGGCAATAGTTCATGGACAGTCTATGGAGCTCTAGCCAGGAAAGTGAGGCTGCCAGGAATTAGGGAGTTGGCTCCTGAGGACATCTGCTGAGAATATTCTATTGTAACATCCAGATTGAACAAGTTCGTCTTAAGCTCCTCTTTTAAGTGAGTTTAAGTGGGAATAGGCGTGATCTACAGTCCTGTTTATGCACCCTACACCCACACTCACACACACAGTTGCCTTTGCTGGTAATTGAGAGATAGAGTGTGGCTCTGGCCACCTGGGACCGTGAGATCCCAAGCTCCCTGCCCATTACTGCCATGCTAATTTAGTAACGTGCTAAGTGGTTGTAACACCAGAGTTGATGTTCACCGAGGCTTTGCCCATTAAGTATCCTTAGCCAAAAATGTTCCTGTGTAATTAGCAAACATCTTAATTATATACTTGGATTTGAAGCCTGTGCTAATCTTGAAGTATAAAAATAATACAAATTAGATAAAGAGGAAGGATTAGGAGAGAGACTGCATTGGCTTAGAAGTTAAAGAGTGTCCCCCTCCAAGCCATGGCCAGATTCAAGTGCCCACCCTGGTATTTATAAGCTCTATGACCTTGAAAAAGGTCCTCATTCCTCTGTGCCTCAGTTTCTTCACCTGAAAAATGGAGAATAACAACAGTGCTGAAGTCAGATGAGCACAGTGTCAGAATGCTCAAAACACAAATAAAGCATGTTTAGAACTGAAATTCTGAGTTTAACTTCTTGTTTATGACATTATAAGAGAGGGAACTCCACAAATGGACCATTACACAGTAGAAATTTTAAAAGGGAATAACTAACAACTCAGAAATTTTATCTGAAAATCTCAGAAGCTTGCCTGCTTTTTCCCACAGGGAAGTAAAGTAATACTTCATATATGGAATAGTTTGTGAAATTTATTAATGTTTGAAAATGAAGTAATCTTATTCACTAAACACTTATCAAGTCCTCCTAAGTCTCACAGCAGGTGGCATGGTTCTATAGGAATGCAGGAGACATTATTGCCAATTTCCAAGAGCTTAAATTTGAGGATGCAGCCTGTTTAAGAACAGTACAAAATTGTCATGCATTTTTAAAAGGTTACTTTGACTAATGATTAATTACACAAGCACGTTCCCTGGGCTTTTAGAAAAGGCACTAAGTACATTTCACTGAAGAATCTGTACACGTATGATATCAATTGCACTTGAACTATCTAAGTAAATATAGATTAGCACTCAATTCCAAGTGTCCCACATATAGTCACAAAATCACAGTATAAAGTTAACTGTAACAAAAATGCTGAATGTGATGTTGATATTGTGTTCAACAGGTTGTTTAGAAACCACAGCCTGGTGTCAAAGGGCTGGAGAAAATAGTTACTGCTTTTTATGATATTTCATGTCATTGACCTTAAATCAGCCATCAGAATAAACACAGCATGATAAGACCTATGACCTAAAACAAATAGAAACTTTATAATTAATTCTCAAGCAAATGTCACTTTTAATAAAATTTGAAAATACCACCCTTGGCTGTTCCTAGTCAGTTGGATTATGGCTATCATCAAATGTAGACTTATATAAGAAGTATGAGAACATATTCATGAATTATAATATTTTAATATTTATAAAATTATGGAAATTGGGAGGAGCAGTGGAGGGGGTGAATTCAAATATGTATTTGATACTTTCTTAAATGTCACAGTGTACCCCCACCCAACACAACAACAACAAAAAAAGTTATGGGAAAGAATGAAAGTGACTTTGAAATATTATTTCAGATATCCATGGTCATTTCCAACATGTCTTCATTCATTCCTCACAGCCGGTTAGCCCTCTGTGAAACAGGCAAGGGCAATTACTATCATCTGTGTGCTTCACACCCTTGCTGGGATGACAGGCCTGCACCACCACGCTCAGCTTTTTCCCATTGAGATGAAGTCTCGCAAACATTTTTTTATGCCTAGGCTGGCCTGGAACATTGATCCTCCCAATCTCAGCCTCCTGCAAAGCTTGGAATGGCAGGCATGAATTCAAACTCTTATAGGACAATTAATTGACTAGCATTTTGGATTATCTAGGTGTTTTGTTCACCTCTATTTGTAGTCTTTTGAAAGCACTTTGCTGATATTTTTTGTTTGATTTCAATCATGTATTCATTCATCAGAAGACCTCACATGGTACCTACATGGGAGGCAGAGATTGGGAGAATCATAGCTCAAGGCCAGCCCTGGGCAAAAACACTTGCCCCTATCTGAAAAAATAAATAAATAAAGCAAAAAAAGACTGGCAGCATGGCTTATGTGGTAGAATACCTTTCTAGCAAGAGAGAGGTCCTGGGTTCAAATTCTAGTACTGTTTTAAAAAAAAAGAAAGAAAGAAAGAATCACCCATGTACCTACTGCTTGCTCAGCACTACTGGGCTCATGTGGTCAGCAGCTTCCTGTAGCCTATATGAAGAGGTTACTTCTGGTTTTCCTTGAAATAATTCTGAAAAGTTGATTTTTCTGCCTCAACTCATTCTTTTTTTGAAGGATACAGTCTATAAATTAATGATAGGAATTTTAAATTTGTTTAGTGAATTTTAATCTCCTTAAAGACAGGAATTACATCTTATTCTCTGTGAGCCCAGTTCTGTATTTAATGACAGTGTGGCAAGTGCAATGTATCTGTTGGGAGATGACTTGTCTTTTCTGAATTGTAGGTTTTCACGATGAATGTGATAAGTATTTATGGCTGTAATTGTAAACATGAGTGGTTATTTTTTAAATCAGGTTAATTGGTACAGCATTGCCCTGTTCTTTGTTTAATTTGTATCCTTTAAATTTGGGATGTGTGTTAGGAATAAGAAGTGGTGTCTGGCTCTTCAAGAATTTTTAAATAAGTTGCAAACATTACGATAGCAAAGTAAGTGATTGTCGCAGCCCTCAGCGCAGTTTGGCTTCTATTCTCTTTGTCCATCCATTTATCCATCTTCCTAGCTAGCTAACTAGCTAGCTCTCCCAACTCCCACAATATTAGCATATGAAGTAATTTATCCTTCCTCTAAACTCTGTGTCACCTACACTTGGGCAGCTTTCCTTACATCTCCAGTCTCAATTTGCTTTTTCTAAAATGAGAATCGTAATAGTACTTAATTCAGTGGCATTAATCGTGAGTAGAATCATCACAAAAACAGTTAAATTGGTTTTCTTATGTAAGGTATTTAGAACACTGTCTGGCACTTGTAAGTATTTGGTAAATTTTTGCTGTTTTTCTTTTTGTCATGGGACCCATCCCTGCCTGCCCTGGCAATATGGTCTGTGACACATTTCTTCACTCCTTTCCAGGAAGCTGCACCAGTTAAGGCTTGGTCACACTGCAGGATTAGCTGGGCTCCTGCACAGGTGTGGGCACCTTGCACGTGGGAGATAAGCAATGAAGACCTGGCAGTGAGTGAAAGGAGGGAGGCCTTTGTTACCCAAAGAGCCAAATTAGCAACATTCGAGCTTTGTACCCTGTCTTTTAGAAAACCACTTAGAAGGTCATGATCCTTTTGGTAGAATGAGACCTCTTTTAGGTCAAATGATACTGCACAGTATGTATTACATTGCGAGGGGATAGTTTGCTTTTATAACATGTCACCATCACCTGCACGCTATGCAAGAGAAATCAATGTCCTGTTGCAGGTTGCCTCCTGCAGTATATTCCAGAGACCATTTTAATGTGCCCTTATCCGTCTTCTGATTTTCTTTTCATAGCCCGAAAGTCAAAGAAGTTGGGGAAGTTAAAAGGCATTCACGAAGAACAGCCACAGCAACCACCACCACCACCACCACCACAGAGCCCAGAAGAGGGGACCACGTACATTGCACCGGCCAAAGAGCCCTCAGTGAACACGGCACTGGTCCCCCAGCTCTCAACCATCTCCCGCGCACTCACCCCCTCCCCCGTCATGATCCTAGAGAGCATTGAGCCTGAAATCGTGTATGCAGGCTATGACGGCTCCAAGCCAGACACAGCTGAGAACCTGCTCTCCACGCTCAACCGCCTGGCTGGCAAGCAGATGATTCAGGTGGTAAAGTGGGCGAAGGTACTTCCAGGTAGGACCATAGTGTCCCTCGCAGGCTGCAGCCCCACAGTTAGGCCAGGCCAGGGGACTTGGTCACAGCCAGCCAGGTGGGGAGTCAGCTTCCTACTGCATCCTGATGTCAGGGTGGGAAACTGGTACTCAGTTGATGGAGTGTGTAGAAAAAGTCTGTATGAAGGGTTCATTTCTGCTAAGAAAGTAAGGCTCCAGATTCTATTGTTAGTATAAGACATAATTTCTTATGTTAGCCATTGAAATGGACAGTTTTATCCCAAAAGCATAATACAGTCAGTTGGTGAGATCACATGGAGCCCCTTCTTGGCAGCTCAGAATCAGGGCTCATCTAAGCACAGGCCAAGAGCCAAGGCCTAGCACTGAGTTGTGAGAGACCCTGGGAGCAATCCTTTCTAGAATCTACCACATTACCCCAGCACCCTTTATTGTCCTTAAAAGTCCTACCTTGGGGGCATTTTGTGGGGGATGGGACTATTAATAAGGCCCTCTGGGATCTACAGAAGCATCACTTAAAATTGTTACCAGTTCATGAAACCAAAGCTACTTCTTAGATTACCATGGTCAAGCAGTGACCATAAGACAGAAGACTGGGGAGCACACCCATGACTGATGCTTTCACATAGAACTGCCCAGGTGAAACTCTACAACCTAAAGGATAGCATGGTGCTGCTGGGAAGAGAGCAAGAAAAGAACAGAGGGCACCATGGCTCCTTACTGGCCAGGTGCCGATGATACCATTTCACTACAGAGAGTCTTCAATGTCTGATTTTATCCCAGGCTATGTAGAGCAAAGAGTAATATTTTCTAAGCACCACAAAGTCACAAAAACTACAGTCTTTGGCCATTCTTACAGATATGCAGGTGTGGACAGTTATTGAGTTACCCTTATGTTGGTGATAATCATTTGTGAGTGGAGTGAAGCAAGATTTTACAGCTTTTCAGCATGGCCAGAATTCAGGCTGTCATCTACGCCCAGGTTTTAGTTTGTCCTGGCATCTCAGCCTCACTGAGTGTATAGGATGAATTTGATATGAAGCATTAAGCAGGGCCAGCCGTGCAGTGGAAGCTCTATAGGTGCCTGTGGGATTGATTTGAGTCTGCTTGAGAAAGGGGGCTTTGAAGGCCTTACTGACGAAGCTTTTTCCTGGAATGTACTTAAATGCTAAGTGTATTTCTGTGATTAATTGTTCTGTTCTTCAGGATTTAAAAACTTGCCTCTTGAGGACCAAATTACCCTAATCCAGTATTCTTGGATGTGTCTGTCATCATTTGCCCTGAGCTGGAGATCGTACAAACATACCAACAGCCAATTTCTCTATTTTGCACCAGACCTAGTCTTTAATGAGTAAGTACCTATTAATTAGCCTTCCTAAAACAAACTGCAGAGTTATTCGCTATGCTTTTTTTTGCCCCCATAACTTCTAAACAGATGTACTTGTGTGTGAAAGAATATACTGACATGGGCGTTTTTAAAGAATTAAAAATCTATCAATTTTTGAGAACTTAAAAAATTACTTATTACAACATTTTAATGTACATGCTTCTGAGTCTATACAGATCAGTAGTTGTAAATCCTACATGATAGTCTGTGGGAATTATCCCAAAAGATGATCCAATTGGCTCTAGAAATTCAACTGGTACAGAGCCACAATTAATAGAAAACAGTCTCTTTTGGTATCTCTTCCACTTGGGAGGACTGTCTAATTTCTAGAAATGCAAATGTATAAAGTGCCAGTTTTTCTGAAGATCATGTAATGACTCTTTTGTTAACTGTATACAGCTGTTCAATGTGTTTTCATGGCAATCATAATTACCCTCTTTCCAATCATAAAAGAAGCCAAAATGTTATTTTGTAGTGAGACATTTTTTGTGTACGATGCATTTTTAAAAGATTGAAAGAGTTTTAATAGATTTTTTTCTTTGGCTATGAGTTCCTTCATATTTTAAGTTTACAATTTCATCATGTTTTTGGGTTCCACATTAGCACATTTCACTTGTTTATATTCAGTAATGCTTCTTTGTAATTGTTAGGTCAAGGAATTATGGAATTATGATAGCAACCACAGCCATATTCTCACAGATGGCCCTCTCTAGAGACAGGAAAATAGGGGCTTCAGAAATGAGGCAGGAGGATGACAAATAGGTTGTGATAAAATGAAGACACGTAGTGCCAAGACACCGCAATAATATCTGTAGTCATCTCCATTCGAGGACCAGTTCACCCCAAGATGGTGTACCACCAAAACAATTTTATTCCAAAGGAAAGTTAGAAATAGCATTGGTTTTTGAAATTGAAAATATTAATGCTAGTAATTCCATAAATTTTCACCAGAAACACGAAGTAAAGTCAAACAACTGACGTGCACATTTTAATTTACTTGTTTTCCTCAATAATCACTGATATTATTAAATAGCAAGCTTGGTTTTAAGTATGTTTTATAAAGCAAAAGCAGTTAAGAGAAATGTTCTTACTTAAAAGGAGGTGGGGCTAAGTCAGAATCTCTCTCAGTGCCGTCAGTCCACACGTCTACATTGATTTTATCTGAACAGAAGATTAACAGGAGCCATCTAATCTTTTTCAGTCTAACATTTTGCCTAAAATTTGCCATTTTTTGGTGGTAATGGGTTTAAACTCAGGGCCTTGCACTTGCTAGGCAGTCACTCTACTACTCGAGCCACATCCCCAGCACTTTTCACTTTAATTATCTTTCAGACAGGGTCCTGGGCCAACCTGGACTGCAGTCCTCCTACCTATGGCCTTACCCAGAGCTGGGATGACAGCCATGCACCACCACAACTGGCCTAAAATTTGCCATTTTTAGTGTAGAATTTAGTGGCATTAGTGATATTCATGCTGTCTTACAACATAGCCATCTCCAATGACTTTTCATCACCCAAAACCAAACTCAGAGTACATTCAATGATAGCTCTTTATTCTCCCCTCCTCTAAACGTCTGAAAACCTGTAGTCTATAAATTTACCTGTATTCTAGACATCTTGTGTAAGTGGACTCATGCAATATTTGTCTTCTTGTGTCTAGCTTATTTCACATAACATAATTATTTCAGTGTTCATCCAAATGGTAGCATGTATCTAAATTTCATTAATTTTATGGCTGAACAATGTTCCATTATTTATATAACAGCCAATTTTTATTATTTGTATATTCTTTACTTGTAAATTTGCCTACTGGCAACATTTATTTGTAGCCTCAAAATTAATATGGTATTTTAGCCATCATTCACAGACACATGCAGAGTGAAAAAAAAAAAAACTGAATCACTAAATGTGCACATCCCAGCAGGGATCAAGCAAGGCAGTGTTTTGCCTTCTGCTTTCAGCTCTTACTCTGTATCTGTCAGCCTCCTTTTTGCCTCTACTGTGCCAAATGTTTTACGTTTTTGTGCTTTTTGTTGGTGTTCAAAATGGCCTGCACCTACACAGTGCTGGTGTGCTGTCTCATGTGGCTAAGATCAGGAAATCTGTAATTGAATTGTGCCTTATGGAAAAGTTCTGTGTGTTCAAGGTTTGTTCGGACATGAGCTGTACTGAGGTTGCCCATGGGCTAAATAATAAAGAATGAAGAATATGTATTAAAGTGCTGGTGGAGTAGCTCTGGTGGTTGAGCACCCACCTAGCAAGCATGAGGCCCTGAGTTCAAACTCCAGTACCGCCAAAAAAACAAAAGAAAACAATATGTTTTAAATAAGGTGTATTTGAACAGAAGTGCACATGGAATAAGATTACATATAGATCAATTGAAATTGTTGTGGCCAGAGGCTCAGTGGATCCTCTGCAGGAGGAATGCTTCAGTGTTCACCGATTCAGTGTTTTCTGTGCCTTTATTCAACAGACCTACCAAAACCACAAAGAACTGACCATGTTTTCTTCCTCCATTCATCTGTTATAGACATGTGGGTTTTTCAGCTTTAGGTTTTGTAAGTAATGCAGTGAACAGAGCTTGACAAATATCCCTCAGACATCTATTTATGCTTTCGAGTCTTTCGGATCCACACCTACCAGTGGGATCATCGGTGTCTGGTAATTCCACACTTAAGTTCTTGAGAAATAGCCAAGCTGTTTTGGCAAAGCATTTTATATACCACCAGCAAAGCAGAGGGTGCTAACTTCTCCACATCCTTGCCAATACTTCTTTTCCCTTTTAATAGTCATCCTGGGGGTATGAAGTGGTCTCTCCTGATAATTTTGATTTGCATTCTCTAGTGACTAATAGTGTTGGATGTCTTTCTCATATGCTCATTGGCCATGTGTATATACTCTTTGGAGAAACGTCCATTCAGTGTGCCTGTCCATCTTCAGTAGGATTGTCTTCTGGTTCTTTATATATTCTGGGTATTAAGTCCTTACCTGATATGTGATTTTTAAGTATTTTCTCCCATCTGTGGATTGTCTTTTCACTCTCCTGAAAATATCGTTTGGTGTGTGCACAGAAGTTCTTAAGCTTAATTAAATGCAACCTACCTACATTTTTCCTTTTGCTGCCTTTGCTTTTGGGATCATCTATTAATTTCAAATTGTGGATAGCATCTGAGTATCAAGGGTCCAAACTAAGCACCTAATCTTAAAATCTTTTTTAACAGATGAAGCACCTTATACTTGAAGGTTTCCTGATACTCTCTCTTGGCAGTCACAGACTGTGCAAAGCCAATTTTGAATTTTGAGCACCTAGCATTTGTGCCTGAGGTATCATAGGTACTCTGTAAATATTTGCTGTATAAGTTAACTACTCAATGAGTGACCCCAACAATCTGTTAATCAGTCTGAAAGGGGCTTTGTGAATTTGCATTCCTGGTTGTAAGGATGAAGGTCATGGTAAAGAAGTGTGATATGGGACCACATTATTTTCACAAACAGGATTGCTGTGTTAAAACAGAGGAACAAAACTTAATAGTTGGTCATATGTATTGGTCTTCAGCTTTGAAATGAATCTGAACATTTCTAATGATGTCATCCTTTAGCTGTGTGTTAGTAGGATTGGAGCTGGAGGAAGGGCAGGAAGTGGAAGAAAAAGGAACATTCTTTCCAATTTTTTCATTAAACATTAAGGTGAAAATATGAGTTAATACTTTAGCATAGAACTTTTCTTATTATAAACTCAAAACTTTGCAGATAGGTATTAAATGATTAATTATTCAATTTTACCTAGAAACAATGTACCATATATATTGCCACAGATCATTGCAACTATTCTGATTTCTTATCAATTCAACACACATATTAAAATTCCCACTTTTGCCTTTAATGAAAGTTTTTCAATTTTTCCCCCTGAAATGAAGGTTTAGTATTATATTCTCTTTTAAGCTTTGGCCAATATTTTTAAATTAAAAGTCTATTAAAGACATATGTATACTGTCTTAAGTTATAGCCCAATAAAAATGTGTTTCAGGTGATCTTTCATTATCTCCACCATCTGAGCCTTATATTATTTTGATCCCAAGGTTGTTGGTAAGAGTGAGACAGTGGTTAGTCTTAGTGCCAAGTTCTGGCCTCTCCTTGAGAGCTGAGTAGATCTCAGAGGGGGAAGGTCACCTGGGGTGAGATGGGGGTGGTTGAAGTCAGTCCACACTGGCCTAGTCTGAAGTGCTTGCTGTGTGACATCAGCGTCATTAAAAAAGTAGGCTGCTTAGTTATTTCATGTTGTGTTTTATTGGTGCATTCTTGGTCCCTTTTGTCTTCCCACTTGCTGGGTCCATGTGCTGCCACCATCCAGGGGTCCCCAGTAAAGACTCTCCCCTGCCACCCTGTGCCTGTGAAGCCCCTTGCACCCAGCACTGCAAAGTCCAGGCATGGCTGAGAAGTGGAGGCTCTGTATGTTGCATAGGCTGGGGTCAGCATGTCCTCATGGAGGCCCATGACCCTGGGGGAGAGGCCGATATTTCCCACTCACTGGAGTGAATTTTGTGCCTTGCCAGGGCCAGTCACAGCAAGTGACAGTTCTGATGAGAGGAAGTGGGGTGAATCTGGGCCCCTTCTCTGGCTCCTGTGTTTCCCCTCCTTTTTCCCCAGCCCCCTTCCCCTCCTGCTTCTTCTTTCCAGTTAGGATTTCTTACTTCCCCTCTGCCCACTGGGGAACCTTCTGGGAAATCTCTGTGGTTTCCAGTGTGTGAGCTTTCTCCTTACTTTTGCCTTCCCCACCTTTGTCCCCTCTCCATCTCCCCCGCTCCATCTCTCTCTCTCTCTCTCTCTCTCTCTCTCTCTCTCTCTCTCACACTCACACACACACACACACACACACTCACACACAACCAACAGCTTTCTGAAATTTCCATTTTTTTTTAAACTTCCGGGTATGAGGGAAAAAACCTTAAAAGCAAAAATATATTC